GATATCTCTATGTTTTGATAATAGTTTTTCAACATCTAATATTTGAGATAATTCTGATCTTTTTGTCATTAATCTCTTGGATCAGCCCCCAACTGTGCATGGCCCCCTGGGCAAGTGTCCAGCATGCCCTTTGGGTGATCCAGCCCAGCCTGGATAGCAAATTGACTCTGGACCGGTGTTGTACCAAAAAGTGATTGTCTGTTCATATTTATTCTACTGTAAATGACTTGTTGGTATAGAATATATGAAACATATGTCAAATGTTTCCTCATGAATGATATCATCCCTTCTATCCCTTTGAAGACGTGAGGCTCCATAAATGCTAAAGAGGTAAGTATTATTTCTCAGTTGCAATGAATAGAAAATAAACTGTAGAAAAATAAACAAAAGAAAGAAGAAGAGAAATAACAATTTAACATAAACCGGTGACACTCCAGGGTAGGGCTGGGCTATATCATACCGTTCACGATAATACGGGTGTAATGTTGGGCAATGATAAGAAAATGAAATATCGCGATGGAATATGGGTAAAACGCGCATGCCCAGTGCCTTTGTTTACATACGCACATGGCGGCGACGCGGAATGAGAAGAGCATAAGTAGATCGTTGAATGAAGAAGAATGAAACGGATGAACCAGAATTGGTTTGTAAAAATGCTGCAACTTCAGTGGTGTGGAACTGGCTTACACAACAAAGCACTATTTTGATAGCGCATGCTAGCGGGCTGTCGTTATTACCGTGTTTATTGGAAAATACGGCACACTTAAGATCAATCCTTTGATAATATTTTTTTAGTCGGATTTGCGACCAAATTGGTCGCACTCTAGAGCCCTGCAAGAGGATAGCAGAAATGGCAACAAATATAACAATAAAGATATTTTAGTTGGCGTAGGACTAATGTGTTTTACCAAAATAAAGAAGACATTACAGGCTCTTTAACAGATCCGCGAACCGAACTGGAACTTGATTTGAATCCGGTCGTTTCCCAGATCATCCGACCCGGATCCGCTGTTGATTATAAGCTAGAATGATGCCCGCTAATGTTTGGCTCGAGTGTCCTAACGGCTATTACGGCAGCCAAGGAGAGCCCTTAATCTCCTACAAGGAGACTTTACACAGGTTAGTATTGGTCTACATGCTCTTTGTTGTCATCCACTGACATAGATGCATGTTTTGTAATCATAATCCATTTGTTCTTCCATGTACATTTTTTCTTACATGATTTTGTTTTTTCTGTGCAGAATTTTCAAAAGGCGACGTCCCCGTCCAGTCCCTGACAATATTGACCAAGACACAGTTGAATACAACACTGTGGACTGTGACACTGTGGACTACAACACTGATGGTTTTGTTGACTACAGTAGTGACAGCAGCAGAGGTGTCTTTAGAGCCATCAAGGCATTGGGACTTTTGGTCCTCCTGCTGGCCTTGTGGTAGTACTATGTGTTTTTCTTCTGGATTAAGCGAGTAGCGAAAGATCGCGGGGGTTTGAAAACTATGTGTCGATTGGCTCAGATATTTGAATTCTGCGATATGGTTTTTCAATTTTGTTGTCCGGGTGAAAAATCGGAAAAAATTCGGGAGAATGGTGGCTCCAGGAGATTTTCGGGAGGTGCACTGAAATTTGGTATTCTCCCGGAAAAATCGGGAGGGTTGGCATGTATGGTTGTGGCAACATCACTAACCTTGTCAAACACCTCAAAGTAAATCATATCACATAATATGACGAGCGTATGTTGAGGCGACCTGAAGAGGAGGACAGGGACAGGTGCTGCTAGAGCGAGACAGACGTCTCTCACGGAGTCCTTTAGTGCTGCAGGCAGGCAAGGTGTTAAAATAGCGCACAACTTTTTTTTATTTCTATATGATGAACTCTGCATTATTAAATAATAAGAACAAGCAATCTGATGTCTTGTAATCATTATGATGCTATAATTTGACATACAATAAATAAAATACGTTTTTGTATAAAGTATCGGTATCGGATCAGTATCGTCGATACCACCCTGAATATTACTTGGTATCGGATCGGAAAGGAAATCAGTGGTATCACACATCACTACTCCCAACCAGCTCTTCAGGTTGTTTTGTTGCTTTAATTAATTTATTATTAACAACAATATGAAATTATGTACAAAAGGAATTACTAATGTAAAAAAAACAACAACAACATGGTTTTATTTATATATGTTTATATATAAATATATACGGTGGCCCCTAGAGACAAAGCACGTACAAACTCCAAAACACATTTCTAGCGTTAACTGAACTTGGAAAACAGAGCTACCTAGATCACTTAAATTACACAATTCAAAGCATATGTGTATTGTTTGTGTATTTATACACAAGTACTCATATATTCAAATAATTAAAAAAAAAAAGTTCATTTACCTGTTACTACCACACACCAAATCC